AATGACGCAAAATTAAATATAAAAAAAATGTAATGGAGAGCATAACGAATTCCTGTGTGGAATTCAACATTTCGGTTAAAATAAACAATTACGTAATGCAACATCGCCTACTGACAAATGCGTATCTCATATAAATATTTACTCGTACATATCGTATATATGTTTTCATACAGTTTTTAGTTATTCCAGTCAATGCCTAACAATGAACACTCCAAGCGAACTTAAGTGAAACGCAAAAGTTCATTTGCTTTTGCACCACTTTAACTAAAGCATACATTTTCCATATTTTAGTTTGTAGAGAGATACGAGTACATACATACATCTATCTACACACTTATCTCCATACATAGTGTCACACTATTCTATATGAACGTATCTACATTCATGTTTTTGCGCTATAATAGAACTCGCCGACAAGCTGTGTGAGCCCCACAGCCCACTTCTGTCAACCGCTGACAATAATCACACAAAAGTCAATGTGCGAGTGGAGTTCAATGGTGTTTATATGCCGCAAAACACCGGCAATGTCATGTGGCAGTAACCACGCTATGGGCGAGTGAAGGAGGACAATCCCACACCGATTGCTTTATCCATTGAAGGCATTTTATATTCGAGTTAAATGGCCTGTAATTCGAACTATTATCGATTAATAAATTACCACCCCCAGAGCTCAAGCCCACAAAACCACAATATTACAAAACCAGAGAAGTATCTGCCCCAGCAAGTGTACAAGGCAACTTTTGCTTTTGCTGGTGTACTCGTAACTGTTGAGCTGAGATACGTACGCAGCTAATATTGTCAGTTATTGATTGTATTGTTTACAACCTCAGCCACCTGTCAAACAAATTATTATTTTTTGTTATTATTTTTTTTTTTTTAGTTTGTTTTGTGGTATATTATGAAGTCTTAACATTGATAGTGTAGTTCGCAGATACATAATTTTTTAGTACAAAACACTAAGCATTTTCTAAATTAAAATCTATTACAATGCTAACCTTCAACATGCAATTTCAAATATTTGCATTAAAATTTTAAATTTTTTTTAATTTTTTTCAAATTTTTTTTAATTCTTTTTTAATTTTCGTTAATTTTTTTTTTAATATTTTTTTTTTCAAATTTTATTATTTTAAAATTATATTAAAAATGAAATTTAAACATATGCCCCATTTATATACAAAAGTCTATAAGTACATACAATATTTTACAGAAATAGCAAATTTAATTTAATTTTGCAAATTGCTGGAATGTGATTGATTGCTTGAATTAGCCTTTCTGTGCTGAATTGTTTATTCATTTAAAGATAATTAAATGCGTTCAAAATAAATTTGTATAATAAAGTTGAAAGTAACGACTACACGACACATAAATATACCTAAATATACATTTATATATATACGTGAATATTATGAATATATCTATATGAATATATTTAATTTTTATTAAATTGAACTTTGTATGAGAGACGAAAAAATCACAGGTCAGCGTTAAGAATTTTATAGTCCAAATATTGTTTATAATGTAAGATAAAGGCCACAAGTAAATGATATGTTAATAGTTCCATAAAAAAAAATTTAACACTTAAAATAAAAAAAATATATTATTCTCGGCATAATGCACTAAAGTAATTAAGGCAGACATTGAAAATGGCTTCAAGTACAAATAAAATAAATCAAATTTGTCAAAAGCTGAACTGAATTGAAAATAATAAATTAATTAAGTGTTTTTGTTTATGCGTAATAGATAAAATCTAAAAAAAAATAGAAAATTTACATTTCAACGAAGTTAATATGTACTTACATTTATATTTACACATACACACATTCATTATTACAAAAATCATTAAAGCAAAAACAACAGTAGAAGTAGTAGTAATGATAATTAAAAAGAATTAAAAAAGAATGTATTCTTGAAATGTAACTGAACATACTTTTATTAGATCCCTTAGAACTTAGTAGGGACCCTTAAACCTTTTTACAGACCTTTTAAGGTGACATAGACTTAGAACACATGTGACATAATTTTATTAGATCCCTTAGAACTTAGTAGGGACCTTATTAGGTCCGTCCCTTCAGCCTTTCTAGAGATCTTTTCAGGTCACATAGACTAAGAGCACATGGGTAGATCATTTCTGCTAGCTAATTTTTAGTTTTAGTTAATTTTAATGTAGCAAATTAGTAGCTAATGGAAACTTTAATTAGTGTACCACTATTTCTTAACATAATTTTACTTAATTTCTATTACCCAGATTAATTTTTCGGTAGAGAAGTCTCAATTGGAGTACTACCATTTTAAATCGCCGTAATTTCTAATTGTCAAGCTTGATCTTAATTGAGAGTTTTCACTAAGAAAGAAACCGCACTAAAAAAGTGAGAAACCACTGTTTCTAGTCGCTATTTTAGTTTTTTAAAGAAAATTTCAATTGAAGTGCAACCATTTATAAAAGCCAGTGTAGGTCATTTAAGTAGCCAGTTTGGGTCATTTCTAACTTAATTCCCCACTGGTGTAGTCGGGTAGGGTAGGATTATTAGTATTTTTAGTATCCAGTTCGCTTACTTTCTAGTATCCATTTCTACACAATTCATTTAACTTATAAGTTACCAATATTGGATATAGTAAACAATCTAGCCCACTCGATGAGTTTACCTTAGTAATCATAATAACGATCGGTAAGGATCCGTGGTCAAGTTTTTTTTTGTCTTATATAAAACAACGATTTATAACAAATAATCTAGATATTAGTTTTAAATGCAAATGAGTTATCATTATTTATATTCAATTTTTAATGTATAAAATTATAAACTATATATTATATGCATATGCTCTTATTTTCCTTATGTGAAGCAACCCCTTTTATCGGTACGTCTTTGGTATTATGTTCTTCAGAGCTGTATCGCAAAACAAATTATAATGCATATAATATAATTAATATATTATATATTTTAAAATATTATTATATACAAACCCAAACTGTGATTATTGGAATTCTAGGAATTCTACTAACTCTAGTACCCATCAAAACTTTCAAATCTGTTCATGTACAGAGAGTAATAACGAGTAATAACTGCAAAAACATTAATGTCACAAAATGTTCACTGCACAAATGCCATCAGTATTATTTTTAGTTGATTACAGAGCATCAAGTGTACTCCAAATATAGGTCATTTCAGACCAAAACTAAGCACGAAAGTCACGCGAGGTAATTGTTGATTTCCTTGACCGAGCCCAAAAACACAGCAAAAAATAATTTTAAACATGTACGAATGTTTGATTCTTATCACATTTTTAAAGTTTAACCAAGCATTCAGATTCTTCTACGCATTGGCTTATATTTAAATTTATATATATAATAAGTACATTCATATATATTATGTATGTATAGATGCAAATTAAATTTGAGTCCCATGTTATGCAAATTTCACAATCATATTAGATTACATTTTTATTTTGTTTTCATTTTTTTATTTCTATGGAATTAGTTTTGATTCATAATATATTACTTTTATATTTTTTACTTAATACTGATATTAATATGATATATTATATTGCTGTAACTTCATTTATTGAAATATTGATTTAGATATCCTACGTATTTCAATATAATATCAATAATGCGTTTTAAAGTAAAAACCCCACCTGTCAGGGTCTATTAAAAATTATCACGACGAACTGAAACCTAATCCACAGAGAACTTACATATATTTATCTAGGACAAGAATTTCAATGTTGGATAGTTACCTGCAGGTCACATGAACCTACACTCTCAACACATAAATATGGGTTCGCATGATATTAAAACATATACATCTATGTCTCAAAAGAGAAAAGATACATTCTTTGTAACTGTCGGGTTTTGGTAAAGGCCAAGTGAGAATTACTATAGTGTTAGTTTCTGATAGCCTTTAATATTGAGAACCCCTCGAGAAAGATTTTCCTTCGAGAAACTCATATTTCTAACAATATAAAACAATTTTTATTAATATACAATTTATGCATATGTACTTAAACTATGGAGCACAGGATTTTTACTTAAGTCTGGCTAAGGTGTGGGGTGGTTGGTTGGTTGGAGTGGCGGCCTTGTTTACCAAGAAAGGTGTGGGGTGACAACACTCTAAAAAACAAAATTATTAAAAATTGCTTTAGCTTAGGAATAGTGCTTCAAGCTATATACATATGTACTAAAACTATGGAATACAGAATTTGGACTTAAATCTAGCTAAAGTGTGATATAAAACCATGCTTAAAAAAAAAAGATTTCTAAGAAGATTTTTTAAATCAGGATTAGAGCTTCGGACACTTTACTACAAAATATTACTACAAAATCTACATAGAGAATTAACTCTACTTTATGTCGCTTTGGATCAACTGATGCGACCCTTGACTTACAACCAACTAAACTAACTTAATAAAATTTTAATTAATTCTGTTATTAATTAATACAGTTTTTTATTTTTTGCAGTAAATAATATTAAGCAAAAATAACTAATTTTAATATTTATTTAGTTATTTCATGTGCTTTACCAATAAATTTAACTAAATATCTATTTTTAAAATATTAACTTCCTTGCAGTTATTAACACATTTTATGGTTTACGTCGGTCTATTCATCTTGCAAAATATACCAGTTAGCACTAACCCGTTTTTTTTCAATGTTTAGTTTTTATTTTAAAATAATAACTTGAAGTATAAATAAAAGAAAAATTAAATAATAAAAATTTAGACGAAAAGAAGTAGAGGTAATACAATAATACACAACCAATATTCCCGGATATCTTTGACTACCTACATACACGTACATATGTGGATATAACTAAATAGAGAATTAATCGTTATTAATTAATTTTTTACTTTATTTTTTTTCTAATGATAAATGTTTTAGAATGTTAAACCGAATAGTTGTCAGTGCAGTTATGCAAACAGAATGGAATGCTTAACAAACTACTTTGCATAGAAGTTAGGATGGTAAAAAAACAGAAATATCTTAAAAATAGAACTAAGCTTACCTCACTTCAGAAGAGATGATACCAAGAAAAGCAATTAAAGGTAGTCCAGTTTTTGTAGAAAGCAACAAAATTTGTCTTCACTCTCTGTTATGTCTTCTAATTTCAACGCGTATTAGCACTTCAAAAACACCTCATGTGATGACACAGAAATCTGTTCAAGGTTTCAAATTCTTTCTTCGATGAGTCTCAATCTAAACAAATTCTGGTTTCCGCTGATATTGCTGATATATGCTATAAGTCACTTATTCTTTTATTTTTTGTTTATTTTTCCTTTGTTAAAATTTTTCTGTGCTATTTTTTTTGAAATTATTTATTATGCAAATTAGTTCTTTGTTTTATTTTTATTTCTATAATATTTCTATTCCTTGCCTCCTCCCATCAAAGAGGTAGACTTCTTGAGAACCCAGTGGGGTGGGACGTGGTGCTTCGCGCAAATTAAGTATAACACTGATAACGTAATGAGACTTCAAGTTGGACTTTGCAATGCAATTCGCCAACTGTTTGTTATTTTTAAATACAATATTTTGAAATATTATTATTATTGTTTTTATTTTTGTTGTTGTTTTTGTTATTGTTATTGTTATTGTATTTCATTTACAAATTCTTAAGATTTTGTAATAAATTTTTTTAATTATTTTAATTTAATTCAACTGACGTATTTGCAGTTCAAAGGAACACAAGCACAAAAAAGCCACTTATTTATTTACAATAATATTTCAAATGAATTAATTTTACTTAGTCAAAAATAAAAATAATTTTTTATTTAAATTAACTTTATCATTCAAATCAACCAATATTTTCGATAAATGCGAAATACTTTCTTGACTTGGGAAATTTCTTCATTAATTTGAAACAAATCTTATCAAACTTCCTGATATAACAATAGTACTCTATTTTTTTCTTTGTGCTCTATTTTTTTTTTGTGTAAGTTTTTTATTTTATTTTAATTTTATTTGTTTATAAATTTTCAGCAAGTTTTTTCATTTGTTTTTTTTTTGTTTTTGTTTTTGTTTTTTATATCAAAAAACAAAAACTACACAAAACTTCAGCAACCTTCAGAAGCCAATGTGAATTCCGTGTCAGCAGATTGAGCAACAACAAAATTTATAGCAGAGCTCACGCGTTCATACAAAAACCCAGAAAATGCTTTTATTCGTGGGGGCCTGTTGTATTTATCGCTCGATCGTATTTGTTGTTGCTGTTGTTGTAGAGTAAATCTCGAACACACGCCACATCAACTAATTTATGAATAGTAAATCGATTCGATTGAATGCCAATACAGTAGCAAGCTCAACCCAAAAGTACGACTATCAAAGTCTAAGCATAAACACAAACTATTCGCACCAGCAAACTAGACACCAGCAGCACCGCGCTAGATAACATTTTTCTATTTACGCTAACTTCGCTGGAACAGCTGTTAAAGCTGTAAAAGCTGTTAAAGCTTCCATTAATAAACAATGGCTACTGAATAACTTTATGACAGCAGCAGCCACTTGAAATATGTGTACACCCTACAAACGCAACATATGAAGGCGTGATATTTTAACTGATTAACAGGTAATTATCATTTTGCTGGGTATTAAGACGTTTTATTATTTAAGTATTAGATGTTTCATTATTTAGACGTTTTATTATTTTAATATAATATTAAAACAAATAAAACTCTAATTTTTATTTTTAATTTAAAGAAAATCAAACCGTTTATAGAATTTATAAAAATATTTACTTCCAATCGTTGAGTATTCGTATTCAAGTGATCCAGTTTTTAAATATAATATTGTTTTTAATTTAGCGTTTATAGCCATATAGCGTTTTCGATTTGTAAAACTGAATTTAATCTTGATTTACTATCGAGCTGTTAGGTTCGTTTTTAATATTTTAGTAATTGTGTAGTAGGCATTGATAGTTTTCATAAATAATTATATCGAATCAAATCTCATTATATTTGTCAAGTCATATAAAATAAATATTAATTTCAAGCTAATCTTGATACTCTAGTAAAATATCTAAAATATTTTACATTAATTATGAGTGCTATACATTTCGAATTACCAATCGAAAATGAAAATTACACTAATCGCGTTTTTGATCAGTAAATTGGCGGTAACTGTTTTAATGGAAATTCACTTTTAGTGCAATTTTAATTTTCGATTAAGAATTCTGTATAACTTTCGAGATTAATGTATAACACTCGAGTTTAATTTATAACACTCTAGACATTTTGCCCATGTAGTAAGATTATGTGAAATTAATAGCTGTTTTGTATGATTTAAAAGATAAAGAAGTGTAAATTGATATATACCCAATTTGTTTGTTTATGTATTTGACAGTCATTTTGAAAAAACGTATAAAATTAAAACAAAAAAAAATAGCACATTTAGCTGCAAATACAAATAAAGATATATTTTTCTATTTGTTGCCATTTACAAAAACGAAAAAAAGTAGACTTGAAAATTTTGAGGTGAATGTTGTGACAAAGAAGTTAGTGTGAACATTTTTAGTTTTAAAACTGTTCGATTGGGCAATAGATTTCGACAGATCTAGAGCGAACCTAGATTAAATACAGATTAACCAATCGAAAACGCCATAAAAGTAAACCGCGATTGAAAAAGTTATCTCAGATTTATCAAACGAAAACGTCAAAAGTCAAAAATATAGCAGTACGAAAATTAACTCACAAACAGTATTGTGTTAATAAATTTTTGACCAATAACCCACAGAATCGTAACTAAAATGCTCTTAGAATATAATTTCTAAACATCTGAAAATGTGTGGCGAGCTCAGATTTATGCCAAAAGAGTATAATGTACTTAAAAATATGGGAAAAGTTCACTAACTTTTTCGCATTTTAGTCAAATAATTACCACAAAAATGTACATCAATTTTATTTATATATACATCAATATATAAACAAATATATACATATGTAAAAAGTAGTGGCGTTATTGGTTTTATTTTCAAGATCTTTATTTACCTTTATTTACTTTTAACGCAGCCTTTGATCAAATTCTAAAACTAGTTCAGACATTATAGAAAGTGAAAGTTTCTTCAATTTAAACTTAAATATTAAATTAAAATTATTTTTGTATTAAAAATATTTGCATAGTTTTAATTATCGGTAGATTATATTGCTAAAGGAATGAGTAACCCCCTTATTTCTCCCTAAATACGACGATAGCATTTCTAGCAACATTCCTTGCTTGTGATTGCTCTATGTGTCAAATATCCTCAATGCCACAATATTAACAGTATTGCTTGTTTTGATAAATGGAATCATTGGATTTAAAATGAGATCCTAAATTTTTGTTATTAATTTTTATTATATATTACTAATAATAACAAACATATTACTGTTGTATTATATTATATTGTGTTAGTATTAAAATTCAATTAATTTTAATTCAAATATTAATTATATTAATATTAATTCAATAATAATTAATTAATTAATAATATTAATCAATTCAAATAATCAAAAGTCAAATAAAACATATAATAATAAAAGCATTGTAATAAAACCATCCATACAGAATTATTATGTTTCCCTCCGCATATCATAATTCTTGGTGTGTAGCATATTTAAGAAACAGACACGACTTACAATTTTAATTTGTTTACCTTTTTCATCTAACGCTTCTCCAGCATTTGCTAGAAAACTTTGCTGGAGAGCTGCACACAGGAGCTTTTGGAATTATCATATTTTATTAAAAATCAAATCATAATGAAAAGCTTACCATAAAAAAAATTTATGAGCAACAATAAAATTAAATTTGCATGAAAAAAGCTTTAAGTCATTCAAGAACTTAAGCTACCACTGCATAGTTTAAGGTGACCAAATGACAAAATTTTTATTTATTTACAAACAATTATTATTAAATTTTTATTGATTTCATAATTGTTGAAAACATTAATATTGATTATTTTGGTTTTATATACATTACAAATTTACAAATATCATCAAAATAATAATATGTTTTGTTATTTTAAATAAATATATAATTATGTTAAATAAAAGTACCAGATATAATCGATAACCCATTTTATAACCCATTTTATTTTACTAATTTAACTAACACCGTGTTACTAAGTTATCGAGCAATGTATAAATACCGGTTTTAAGAAATAAATAAAAACCTATTTATTTAAAAAAATAAAATACTTAAATGAAACGACAAACCGAATCGGTTGTGAGAGGTTATATCTGACTTTTACTATGAATGAACTGAACCATGACCAGAACTACTATGCGTTTTTATGAAGAACAGGAAAAACCGAAAAATAGTTCCAAACATCTTCACACTACTTAACCGAACCATTTTATGAATAATCTTTTTCTGTATAATCAATTATATTTACTCCATTATGTTATAAATTTGCAATACGTGGATATACTGTAGCTTACCTCTCCAGGTATCATGATTTGGAGTTTTGTGTAAATCTATTCAACTACAATATCTCAAAAACTCAGCAATACTGATATATAGCAAAGTAAAAAAATTTGTTCAAAATATCTTTTTTTACTAAAATCTGTTAATAAAAATTATTATGAGAGCACTACCACAATTACCTACACTAACAACTATATAAGAAAAATTTTGATTATTATAACTACTTTCTAAAGACAAATTTTAAATATCAATTCTATGATATCTCTTTGCATGTATTGATTATTAGAGTATCAACACTGAGATTAATAACGACCTTATATGTAATTTATATATGAAACCCAAGACATAAGAACTTAAATATTTGAAAATTTATTATAAGTACATATACCATATAGTATAATATATGGTATATAGTCAATCTAAATTTTAAACCAACTGCAAACAATTTTCTGAAGAAATGAATAATAACATCTGAGTTTCTCGACACAGAACTGACCTTTGTCGTAAGCATAGTTAATATTCAGGTTTTCACCAATTTGTAGACATTTACTACAGTCTTAAAACCATTGATACTATCACTGTAATTTAAAAATCACAAAAGGAATAGTCATAACAAAGGTTTAAATGAAATAGTCACACCCTCGGTAATACCCTGAGTAAAAATATCATAATATAATAAAAGTGTCTCCTAGTTATTTATCAGAGTTTAGGGCGAAGGACCTAGTAGTTTAGGTCCTTATTCTAAGTTAATTTTAAAATAATTTTATTGTTAACTTACAAATAATAAATACTTATCTTAGTATTAGTAAGAATATCACCTCTAATGGTGATATGTATCACCATTCGATGTCGCTGATTGGAATCATTTTGATAATATTGGACTGGTGTTTTATTTCAGCGCTACTCTATTGTTGGAAATACCCAAATCTTTAATTGGTATTTGTTGAGCTCTTAAGGCGACCTTAAAGTCGAGCTTAATGCAGATACATAAGGTTTTATTAAGAAATTTTCAGTGATGAAAATATATTCAATAAATTTTATTATCAGTTTTACCCTTCAATATGTTATATATTTACAATAGTTATTGTGACAATTAATGATTGACTAATATTTTCCTCACCTCCTTTTAAATTTACTTTGATATCAAACAAAAACAATTCAAAGTATTGCATAAAC